CTTTACAAATATCCCACAACAAAGGAAACATAAAGTTGTTACTATTTACTCAAATCATAGGAAGGAAATGCTTATCATTGGTCTAATGGTTCCATGGTTCAAAGTGGATATCTAAATGTAAAGGCCAATGTTTCAAAAAGGATTTTTTTTTTTTTTTTTTTTTTTAATCTGTTTTCTCTTTAAAAAAGCCCAAGACACCCCCACACTTAAGGACTCCCAAACCTTTGTAGAAGACTATCAGGCTGTAAAATTAAGCACCTAAAATTTAGGAAATGCCTCTGTGTATTTGTTCTTGAATTATTTTCATAAATGAAAACACAGATGATGAAATTACATGAGATCATGTACCATTTTTTCTCCTCAGCCTGTTATATTCAATGAAAGCAAGTTCTACATGCCTTTAAAAATCTGTATTTAGGTAATTTTTTAATATGCAACCTCAAAGTGAATTAAACAGCATCCTGTAAAATGTCATTCTGTAGTCTGCTCAAAAAGATTAGGTATATGTTGCTTGATAGTTAATTAATACATAGAAAAATATGTATCTTTCGCCACTAAAAAAAAACAACCAAACAAAAAACAACCAACCAACCAACCAAGCAACCAACCAACCAACCAAACAAACAAACAAACAAACAAAAAAAAACCAGAAAAAAAGGGAGAAAAATATGCGCAAGAATGTCCTTGGTAAAACATGAGTAAATTCATAGAGAGTTTAAAAATTAGATGCTTACTACACAGAGAAAGTTTACAAATCCTAAATGAAAGACAGCAGTCCTTGAACTAGAATATATAGACAATAGTGATGCTAAGAAGAAAGGAACAGGAAAGCAGGCATTTTTTAAAGTGAAGCTGTACCATATACTGCTTATAAAAAGAGTTGAACACTTTCTAAGAACTCTCATTATGAAAGAAAGGGAGGCAAAAATAATCAAGGTGGAGATTCTGTCAAAAGCAAAAAGAATTGAGTAAGATSTAAAAAGAAAGTGAAATGAAAGTTACTCTTTTTCTTGTTCTGAATTGGAATACTTCACTGTGAGAAAGGCATAATAAAACTTAATTAATTTAATTTCACTGACTAACAGAATAGTCAAGTCTGAATTTATATGAGAAATATAACTAAGTGTTTTTTAGTCGAGGTATACATGGATCCACTTTTTGAAATAGGGATGATCAAGGAACTAAAAAGTTCAGATTGTAATTTATTTAATTTTTTTTCTTCCTGCAAAGCAGTGTTTCACTGATATCAGAGGCTCCCTGAAAAGTCAGAATTCAGGGAGGAGAATAATTAAGAATTCTGGGCAGTATTTTAAATAACAGTTAGAGGCACAACTCCCATTGCATTTCACTTTCAAATTCTGGTCAGAAGACTGCAGTTCCCAAGGCAAATATAATGAAAATAAAGTTTAAATTTGCAGAGAAAAGAGAACCACAGAATYGTGATGGCAGACCATATAAATATGTAGGACACTCATCTAACAGTCCAGCACTGGTTGGGCAGAAACAGATTGGGATGATAGAAGGTAGTTAATGATGGTCATATACTACTCACAAATGGGATATTAGGATATGCAAAAGACCATACTCTCTAGCTAGGTATTAAAAATGCTGAACTTTTAGTTCTTGCAAAGTATTTCTATGTCCATCTTCCAACTTAATGTTGACTACAGTACCATTGTTCAGGAAAGCACTAAAACAAAAAATACAACCAGAAATTCAAACCAATGTTTATGGAGTTAATAAAAATTATAAAGAATGGTCAGATAAGAATGGCCCCCCCTCAGCCCCACACAAAAAAATAACCTCAAGAGATAGAAAAGAGAAAATAGTTACTAGGGAGAATAAAGCAATAACTATGATTTCTAGGACATAATGTACTGGCCATTAACAGAAGCAAGGTTCTAAATTAAACAGATAACTGATTAGTCCAACTGAACAACGGATACTCTTTCTTTAAGTTACACACATTTTTTAGATTTTGGGTTTTTTTTTAATATTGGATCAATTTAAGGAACAGTTAGTTTTCCCTTTGAACATGTAACAGGGAACAAAATCAAATTCTTTAAAGTAAACAAATGCTTTCCTTAAACTGAGATATACTATTTAAAAKTATTTCTTTTATTACTTAATTGATTTTGCTCTGTCAAGGAAAATAATTAAGTTAGTTTAGGATTAATCTCTCCCATCCAAAATTTTCAGAAAGAAATGGTAAATTTGGCTTATAAAAATCTTAAAATTGTTTAATCCAGAATTCAAAAAAACTGCCTTTGARAAAAAAAAAAAAAAAGATCTATAGACAGAACATAAAAGTTGTGAAGTTCCCAAAAATATTTCTTAAAATCTTGACTTAGCCTTTCTAAAATCCCCTGTGAATTAAAGGACAATAACTTTGAAGTGTTATACATTTTGTCTTTAAAAAAGACATTATCATTAATACATTTCCCTGTAGTACATATAAAAGGCACTTTATTTCAGGATCACATAAATTTGAAAGTTTTTTTAAGTAAATATACTTAAGAATCCATTATCTTGAATTTCTAGACTTTACTTTTCAGCCTGTAAGGTCTCAACAATTTATTGATATGATTTCTAAATTACAAATTAAATACAAACATGTATGATATTACCAAATAATAGCTCTCAATTCCTGATTCCTAACAATAATTGAATTCTGAGCAACAATTTAAAGTATGGCTGTTGGATAGTGAACTTAGTAACATTTTATTAATTAAAACTTATCAAACCATTGAGATTAAGATGCCCTGAAAAAATGGTATAAGAACTTGATTTTACARTTTATTGAAATGAAAGCACCTCCAAGGTCACAGCAACTTTATAATAACCTGTAACACAACCGCAGGAAAACTGAAAGGGAATATATCTACTAAATCACTGAAACAGTTCCTAGGCATCTTCATTTAATTTCAGAAGGCAAAACCACGAGAGAGTATACAACAGGAAAGCATTTTATAACAAATACATTCTCAGTAAAGGCAAATTTATAATGTTTTCAGTTTTAAGGATACCACGGAGCTAATTATTTTTGATCATCGAAAAGCAAGAGTCTTTGGCAAACAGAACTAATGTAATAAACATGTTTCTATACTGCATATGAAATGTACAAAGGACACAGCAATGTCTGGTTTTATATATCATAAATGATACAATTGAATGTATCATCATTGTTTAATTTCTTAAATCCATTATGRTAAAATTTATATAGACACAAATGCAGAAACATATGTAAAATGACATAAAACCTGGGCTTCTTTTTTTTTTTCTTAGTCCCTGTACTACTTAAAGGAGAATGAGTATGTAGGTATGGTGTAATGTATGTGTATTTTATGAAAGTATATTTATATTAGCAGACATTGTAAACTGTCTCTCCACCCCTGTCCACCCATTTATGACTCTGCCAGTTGGTTCTTCTTTCCTGCTCCATTCCTAATCTCTCCTTATTGGAGGTACAATGCAATGACACTTTTTTCTTTTCCAAAGAGAAAAATCTATTCCCAAGCTCCACACAGGCAAATTCCACATTTCGAGAGAGTTCACTTTGATTTATTTTTGGGTGGAGTTACAGTATAGGTTACAGTCTAAACAGCAGTTATACACTAATATCAATGCAGTGTATACTATTTAACTCAATTATATAAAATATGCACACATTCTATTCTGGATATATTAATATAATGATAATTTTGCCATGGACATCAGTAGTTTAGAATTATCTCACCTAAATTCAGGATCTTAGCAGTTAGGAACCTGAGCTAACTTAAATGGTGAGGCTTCGTCACTAACCAATGGTGAGAAACAAGAAAACTAAGGACATAATTCATTCTTTTCTAAGATGGTAGGCACAAAGACAGAATCATGTTCTTTCTCCATTAGTAAAATCAACTCTGACTATGACAATAGATTTTATCTAATCTGATTTTAGGAATGTAAATCAAATGAATAAGCACAAACATAGTCAGTCACTTAGTTTTTGCTTGTGTGAACTAATGTCTAATGTCTAAAGCCTTTACAAACTATGGAGACTTCGAGTATTTTTACATGTTTTTCTTGAATTTTATTTTTCACTGAAAGTGAAAATTCAGCCTATATAAAAACAAAATCAAAAAGTAAATCCAGCAATTTATATATAAATTATATTAAATGCCTGATTTCTRTTTTGAAAACATTTCCAGAAACTTCACTATTAAAAAGTTTTTGGAATTTAGATAATTTCACCAAAGTTATTTAATACAGGTAATATTTTCTGTAATGTGCTTTTGGGGGGTTTATAATTTTATTTATTTAGAAAAGACATTGTACACAAATAAGAAAATATAGTATGTCGTATTATCAGAAATATATTAACATTGCTTCAGTTATACTACAAAAAATAAGGCATGAAACTTAAAATTCTGTAATTTTTTGATAGTATTATGACATATTTATTACAAAAATTTATTCAATAATTATTTTTTCATTTTTTCTATATATAGTTTCTTTTGTTACCTTCTATGGTATTCGGGTGGTAAAGATATAAGGCTTTAAAAGGATCCTTTACTACTGAGCTATAGTAAGTTCAGTGGGATCTTATACGACAACATAACTGGTAATCGACATGACAGAAATCTGTACCTTGATTTGTGATATGTGTTCAAGTGTTCAGGTAACAAAACATGCATTTTCAAAGCTCTCTTGGAAAAAAAAAAATAAGATGAAGATTTTTAAAAATATTTTTCATTATTTAAGGAAAAAAAGTCTTCTAAGGATTCAGACATGAGAAGACCCATAATACATCACAAGAAGCTTCCCATTAAAATCACAGAGGAAAGTCTAGTGATATTAAAGTATTTGAACAGAACTGTAGTGAATGTATGAAAAGGCTTTAGATAAAAAAGAAACAGATAGATAAGCAGCATGTGTTACTAAGGATTCCAAGCAGGGTCAGTTGTACCTAGTATTTTAAAGTGTTCTTTAATTCTGATATTGAAAAAAACATAACTTACTTGAGGATCTTTCTGAGTGTCTGTGTGGCGGCTTATTTTTTTCTCTGTTCTCAGTCAAAGCACTTCCACTGGCCATGGAAACAAGGTCTAAATCCGTGTCTTCTCTGCTTACAGGGCTTGCCTGGAAGCAGTGGGAGAGAATGTACACAATCATGAAACAAAATATAACATTTTCTGAATGTAGCTCACATTACTCCAAATAAACAAACAGGGTCTGTCAAACAACCTTCTTCAAAATGATACCACAATCCTTTTTTGTTGCTTAGGTTGAACAAATGCACTATGTCAAAGCATTTTTGTAAATAAGAGTCGATCTTAAAATTGTGGTTTGTGATCTGAGTCAATGCAACAACAAAAGAAAACATTTTAGTACAGTAATTTTGAAGAAAATCAATATTGCAGAGGGTTGATGAAACCTTAAACAGCTTAAGATCATTTACTGACCAGTCTATAATTTCAGTTATAGTTGAATGTCAGAGATGTCATATAGGATTATTTCCTGCAATATTTATGCTTTATCCAGGACATGTATCACTTCAATCAGTCATGGGCCCAGCAAGTAATTTAATCTTTTAGCTTTTTGCTAATTAACCATAACCATCAGACAGCATTTTAATTATACTTTAGGCAAGAGTATTATATTAATTATAAACTTCTAACATGCGGGAATGGTATGTTTTGGCATGAAGCATGTTACCTGCACACAAATAGGAAAAAATAAAGATGAAAATCATATTTAATTTTATCAATGCTGCTTTTGGAACATGTAGGGAAAAGTTTAAAAACAGGCCTAGAAGATACCAACCATTGTAAATTGCAGATTGTTATTTTTGCAGAAACAACTTCACATTTTACTGAAGAAGGTAATGAAAAGCTATTCAGCACCAAAAGTAACCTTTAACAATAGGTAGATACTGAAGGCTGGTAACAATAATGGGGATAAATCAGACACTGCTGATGAACAGCCTACAAAATCCCGTGTAGTCCCAGCTGGAAGTACTGAACATAAGGATATATACTTTTCTAGTCTCTGGACCTTCAGAAGTGAAATTGAGAAAAGCAGATTAAGCTTTCCTCTCTCTTGTCTGAAGAGCTAGGTATCTTTCAGAAGCTAGGTGTCTAAATGAGTCTGGTTTTTTTTTAATATAAAAACAAACAAACACAGAAAAGGAAAGACTCTGCTAGTGGTAATGTCACTAAACTTTTGCGTAACACTGTAGTAGCAAGATTGCTCAATCGAGAGGCTGGGTCTCAACTCCTTCCTCAGGGGGCTAAAGCCCACAGCTCCCTTTTTCTCAGGAAAGTGCCATTACTATGAAGTTGTAGGCTATTCTGGAGGAGACAATTTCCAGACTTCCTGTTCAAACTAGCTCACTGTACCAAAAGCAGCACTGCACCAATGCAGACAGGCTTTGTAGTCCAGTCTAACTTAGAGAACTCAGATGAAATGGAGACCTGTTTCATTTCCTTGTCTTTACTCAGTCACTGTTTAATGTAAAATTCATTAAAAAGTCCATGCATTTTCAAGCCAAAAACTCCAAAGATACAGAGATTTTACACTCTTCCTTAGTGATTGCATACCCTTTGTGTCCATATAGAATGTTTATCCCTTATTTTCTCATGCTTAACTTTTATGTGTTTAATGACTAGGATTTTAAAGTTTTTAAACTTAAAGTCATTAAAGTCTTTATTATTGCTGTTAACATCAACAGTTTATTTTCCCTTCCATAGCAGTTTCAAGAAATTTTGAAAAAAATAACATTTTACCCTGCCAATTATTTCTTATAATTTTTTGCCTCAATATTTACAGTAGCTTTAAACTTGTGAGAGCTTTCTATGTTCAAAATCTTTAAATTGAAAGCTTTTAGTCTTTCATTATTAGAAATAATGCAATGATTGAGATGCCGAAAGAGATTTAAACCAATTGAACTAATAATTCTTGTTTCCTTCTAATCTGTCTCAACACACAGCAGAAGTTTTCTAATGTTCCAATTCCCAAAGACCCAGAAACCACAGAATTTTATACAACTAGCTTTTTTTCCCAGTCCCTACCATCATAGAAACTAAGGCTTCATCATCTTTTAGGCAACAATATCCAGGGTTATATGCTAGATTTTAATAGGGCTGTCTTGATCTCTGATGTAAAATATTTGTTATTTAATTTCAAAGTAAGATAAGTGTTTTCACACAATTACAGTCAGAGTAATATTTAAGGTTGTATTAATCACTCGAGCAAACAATTTCAGCTTTTTAAAGAAGCTGGGTGAAAGTCTTCTGCAGCTAATTAAAACCTTTCCTTTTTATTTATGGCTTAGAAGAAAATTTGGAAGAAATTTAAGATACTGGTACAGCTTTTCACACACTGTAGTATAGGACTTCCACCTATAGTGATCACTATAACTAACTCTCCAGACTTTATGCTATTGGTTTGATTACTACAAACCTTTCTTATGAATAGGAAATCATTTTAAATCAGGATGAATCTTTGCCTTGAACACAGCTTTTCATCTGTATATTTGTATATTTCTATGTAAAATTATCAAGATGTTCTGTAACCTTCAGAGATAAGGGTGCTTTTAAATTCAAGTTACATCTAAATGGTTTGGAGATATTGATCAATAATGAAGTGGTTAACCCTGTAGGAAACTTAAACTTCATACAAAAAGAATCAGAAAATCTATCCTACTTGCTATTCCACAAAATTATATTAATTTAAAACAGTTTAAACTATAAGTCAGCATGCCTTCCTAGGCACTTTCATGATATTACGAGTCAGTAAAATCATCAAAATGACTAAGATTAAGATAATAAGGTCTTCGATTTACTCAGGTTACTACAAAGCAATAATCCCCGGTGAGAAGACTTTATAGTTTATATGCAACTATTGAAATGCCAATTTATATCCATGAAAAAAGAGTCTTAAATTACTGTCATGTGCACAAATATCATTTAGAAAACTATATGAATCTAGTACTTTCAGAATGCAGGCTTATGGAATACCTGAAAAGCAAGGACTGTCTAGCACATGAGAAAACTTCATGATCAGGCATATGACATAGGAATAAACTACTGGAAAAGCCCAGGAACGCTTTCCTCTTCTAATGCACACACTCTCTCTCTCTTTTATTTTATTTTAAAATACATTTTCCACTTTCTTTCAGTTTTACAAGATTTTTTTTTATAGTGATTGTATCTGTAACTTGATTTTTGTAATGATTTCATAGCCTTTAACTAAGCTACTGTGCAAAAGCGGTAGGAGTAAGTTCACATTTCAACCTTTAAAAGAGAACCCATATAAATTTTAAAACCAAAATTCTCCAGCCATCTGTGTGTACAAACCACATCATTATTTCACTGCCTATATAGTACTGCTTTCTACATTAGAGATACATTTTGTTCCATTTTCTATTTTTTGAACACTGTATAGTATTTTTCTCTGTATTGCATTCATGTGGAACGGCCATGTTATTATGTGGCACAGGCTGTGACAATTCCATAACTTTGCCAGTTATGTGGGTACACCACATAATACTATTGTGGGATTGYGGCAGTATTTTGTGGACAGAACTCCTTAGTGCAAATAATATACAATGTACCTATGTGCACACATGCTTACCAATAATTACATAATAAGTAATTTAGATAACATTATTAAATTATGATTTGTTCAAATTAGATCAATTACTGTCTTAGATGCGACCTAAAAAAAAATATTGGTACTGCTGCAATCAAACCCTACAACAGTCATTTGGTTCATGATTTCAGCCCCTTAAATTTTAGAAGAACTTAAGAATTGGAAACACTTGCTAGAGGAAAATATTTTCCAAAACATACAAATTGCATAGCTTGTGAAGCTAAAGAAAGAGGCTAGAAAGGGGCAAGGTTGCTCAGAGAACAAAATGAGGCAGACGACACATATAACTGGGAAATATTTTTTATGAAACATAYTACCTCATGTATATGGATATAAAATACTAATTGTGTATGGCTTCTGAATTTTTGCTCCATTATTTTAAACCATACAAAGTTATATCAATAACAATATTTTTAATTTGGCATTAAAATTTAATGTGTGTATATATATATATAWAATGTAGCAAATATAAATTGACCTTAGGCACCACAACTCCTCACTATTAAAACAATTTTTGGGTATCCCTGACACAGTCTTTGAATTTTGTAAATCTTCAAATTGTTAAATTCCTCATATTTTCATTCCTGCCAACTTCCATGGCTACCTGTTTCAGAAGATAAAATTTTTAAAAAATGCTGCAAAACAAGTGCAGCATGAAAAGAGCAGAGGGCATTTTAAGATGCAAAAAAATATAAAAAAAATTGTAGGAATAAGTCTGATTTTATGCAGTATTTCTAATAATGTCACCATATTAATATACAACTCCCACTTATTGTATTTCAATAAATGATATTGAAGGCATGTTAGAATGATTTAGGTAGGCGAAATACAGAATTAGAGACTATTTAAAGCTGCTCAATTGACAAGAATGCATGTTTTCAGTAAATAACGTAATTGGTACTGAACCATATTTAATTTGTTTTAATTTTTTTTTTAAATGTTAAGAAGCTTTAGGATTTAGAATCTTTAAAATTCACACAGTGGCACTTGGTGTCTTAAACTCAGTGTCAGATAATGAAGCTAGAACCCTATGTACACACATGGGGTTTTGACCTAAAATATTTTCATCTGATCTCCATCAGAGGATGACTTGATTGCTAAAGAGAGATAACACTACAGTATTATTAATCAAATTATATTTAATAATATTAATTAAAGTAATATCCATAAAAAGATTCTCCTTTTTTTTTTTTTTTTTTTTTCATGAGGTGTGGATTGGAAATACCTGAATTCTTCAAAATCCCACAAAGAAACAAGTTCTTACCACAAGTTGTACTTGTCTATTGTCACATATCGCAGGATCTAACTCAGGCAAAAAATGACAGCTGGGAAAAACGTAGAATAGAAATTTCAATAACTCCCACTGTACTGGGTTCACTAAAATATCTGTACAGAATCTTTTCAGGAAACAATCCTGCTTAACTATTTAAAATAATTCCATGATTAAGGTGCATCAGAGAAATTAGCATTAACAGATAAAGTATTGGAGCAATTAGTATTATTTTTTTTTACCTAACATTAAAAAAAAAAGATTAACAATTGTTTATTCAAATGACAGAATAATAAGTTAAAATATAAATGTCAATAAATACAACCATGAATGACTTTTTGCATGTGTTGATATAAATTGTAGAAAAAACAATTTTCATATTACATTTYTGTAGAAATAAAATTGTTTTCAGCTTAATAAATATATCAGCTGTTCTAAACTGTCTACCAATGAAGTTCCAATGGAGATTTAGTTGGACTTTTGGAACTGTAAAAAATGATATCACGATCTTCAAAAAGTCAGTACAAATACTAGGGCATAGCATACAACTGCACAGGTAGCACAATAATATTTAAGAAAATTCTTTATGAATTTCTGTGTCTTTCTTTCAAACATCATTACATGTTTGATTCCAGTGTTTTAATTCAAATTAAAAGTTGTCTTAAAGTTATCTTGAACAAACACTTTGAGTATTTCTCTATTATGGATCATGAATGAAAGATATGTATTTTTGCAAAGCCACAGAAATATTTCCTAAGGAACATGTTTTTCATATAGTTTCTGCAGTCATTGATACAAGCCAGATATGTGGCATATTTTTCTGCACAAGACAGAACTATTTGCAGCCCATTTAATTATAAATGAAATACATTTAAAATGAAAATAATGATAAAATTCATATGCTAAACCCATTGCTTGCCTACTGACACTTTGTTTGGTTTTATTAGAGGTGCTTGGCATTGTGTCTACTAATGACTTCATTAAGATACCAATGCCTTATGTTGAATTTATGACCAAAATATACTTACTATGTCTTCATGTTAGTTTAGGTAATATTAACCTTTCCCTTAACTGTATTGACATTTTTCCTGTTTAATAACCATAATTGAATATAGAAGGAACATGTTTACAACATTTTAGTACAGTGTAGTATAAAGATGTAAACATTTGATTTATGTTTTGAAGATAAAATATAAATACACACTATTCAGTTAAAAAATGTATTGTTTTACTTCCTTAATCAAATCTAACAATATAGCTAATGTTACAGTTGATTTAATTACATAAAACCATAATATATTTCAATAATATTATAAAATATATGATGAATAAACACTTTTTTCCTGCACTCTTTGCAGTCTAAAAGACACTGCAGTGCTGAAGTAAAACTATGTCATTATTTATGGTAAGATTCTGAACGTTTTTTAATTTCATTTTCAATGTGGATGAAGTATCTATACAATGAGTACCAAACCATTTCTAAAGGGTGCCATATTTGGGACCCGGATATATGGTATACTGTCGGCTAGCTGCAAAGTCATGTTTGCTTTAGAACTACTAACTTAGGTTTCACTTTACAAGACAAATCTAAAATTAAAAAAAAATCTAATTTAAAGGTATCACCTCACCACATCATATTTCTGGAACTGGCTGCTTCATAATCCAAAAGCTGTGCATAAAGCCATTGGCATGTGAAGTCTTTTCTCTGTAATTTCTCATCTAAAGTAGTATCCAGCTGAGAAAATTTTTCACCTGGAGAGGAAGAGAGATACTCCTGTCTTTCATCATTATTTTAAAATATACTTTCTTTAAGATTTCCTAGATAAACTTGGATCATATGGTTTTTTGGAAATAAAAAGTCAATTTTTTTCATGCAAAGAGTCCAACTATTTAAAATTTCTTCAGATATATTTMAGAAATACTTTTATACTAGTATTAGTTTTATGGTTTATTTTGTCTTTTGGGATGCAGTACTAGCCTTCTCAATAAATTCATTTTATTGGAAAATAAATCTATCCTTTATTACTAAAATCATTTAGAAGTATATATTATACATAAATTTCATGTCATAGCTACCATGAATGTTGCTTATTGTGCTATTTCCATAATTAAAAATATACAATCATTTATACTTACAATTCTTCTTAGCAATCTATGAGGTTTAAAAAAAAATCACCATTATATGCAAGAATGGACACATGGCAATCTTATCACTCTGATATGTCTTTTACTGATATGATCTATTAAGACATTTAAGACATTTCATGGTAATTTCTCATTTGGATTCCAAAGCAATTGCATCTATAAGATTATTTTTCAGAAATTGTTGCCTACTTTTGGGTCACAAAAGACATATAAATGTAAGAATAAAATAGTGACACTATTTTAGTACAAATAGTACAAAACTTGAGATCCTTCAGTTTTTGGACCATATTGCTGAATAACAGACATGTTTAGAAGGATAAGGAGAAGGAYGTCAGAAGTGAAAGAGCCTCCAAAGGAAGCATCATTGCTGCATGGAGACATTAATGGTTTTGAATAATTTTTTATTTTCTACCATCATACAACTTCATAGATGATATTTTTTCAACACCTTCAACTCAGGACTTTTATAAGATATTAGATTTTTTAATTCTTTTTTTTTTGGTACAAAAGTTTTTTGTTTTTCTCTTTGATGTAATTTCAGATAACACTGAGTTATCATCCTTATTGTTAATTATACCTTTTTTTTTTTCTTTCAAAAATTCTTCTTTCCTCACTGATAGGTGAATTCAGCAGCTACTAGAAGTTTTTTAGTAATCTGCAGGAGCACTTGAAACAGCAAAGACCACACATCACCTCACTTAACATCAAGTCCATTTGCTCACTACGGATTATTCAACTTTCACTAACTGCAAAGGGGTGGCAAGGTGGGGAGGAAGGGAGATATCAGAAGTGCCATACTTTCATTCATATTGGCAACATAAACTGAAGTTATAGGATATTTACCAATTCACCTTTTAAGAGGTTTGGTACATTACCTGTAATATTTTTCTTCACTTTGCATAAGCTGCAAAATATAGATCCTCACTGTCATTTTACCTGGCTTTGCAGTGAGGTCATTGCTTTCAACTTTTAGCTCTAAGTTAAAGCATCATAGATGCTTATTTCATAGTCTGAAAAAGAAATCTTTTTTGCTTATTTGTCTTAATATAGAAAATCTCTATTTAAMTCAAATCCATTCCTTAGGCTGAATGTGTTCGAGGCAAGGTCCTGGCTCAGAATATAAAGTCATATATGTCTTGCTAGACATTCACAGATTAGAAATTTGGCAGAAGAATTTATCCTTAGTTGATGTAAAGAACTCTGATTTACCTCCTCAGGAAGACAGAAGATAAAAATCTTGGATAAACAGTCACCAGCTATGCAAATGAGGTTGTGAGGTGTGAGGGCTGACTAAAAAAGTCAAGCAATGAATTACTCAATACATGCCAAATATAAAAAGACTCATAATTACACTGTTCATAAGCTTCCTTTATTAAAGTGGGAAATATATATATATATATATATATATATATATATATATAATTTATGCTATAGCCTTCCTGGTCCAGGAGTACTATTTTCTAATCTTTACATTTTGAAAATTTATAGGTTCCAAGTCCACAACTACACTGGTATTCTTACAGCTCTTTATTTGAAGACAGATGCTGATTTATAACAAGAGTAAGACACATTGTGAGTGACTTCAAAAGAGCTCTTAACCTGGAGATCATCTTCTACAAATGCTCTACAATGAAGAATAATTTACCAAGAAATTATATTTCGTCTTTTTCTTACCTGTATTTACAGAGAAGTTTGCCAAGTGTTGCCATCTTTCTAAGGATAAATATTTCTTGCTATTAAGATAATTGGTATTATTTATGCATTTATTGAAGTGTTTTTAACTTTTTTCTTGATTAAAAGGGAAATAAATGTCAGGGATAAAGCAGTATTAGAAGTTCATGTCTGAGTGTGTGTGTCAGCAATGGTTGAAAGAAGATGAATATACAATGAGCTATAATAATGTTTATGAAAAAATTTAATAATTATAACTTGGTAATTAATTTTCCAAAATGATTTTAAATAATTTTCCTTAGTTGCAGTTTTAATTTTTGAATTAATTATGTTTGAAACATAACTGGGTTTATTTAATAAAACTGTATTTTATTTTTACTTTTGCATGTTAATTATTGAAACATGATTGAAACAAAAGTGACCAAGATTATGCGTGCAACAGGGTGTTCTTCCTTAAAATTATATATGCTATTAGACAGAGTATTCTTGTTCCGTATTAGTGTTAATGTTAATAGTGGCTTTTTTTCCCAGATGGGCAGATACTCTTCAATTTGTTTATAATGTTGCATAAAACTGTATTCTATTTTCTTATGTAGAACATACCCATACTCTTACTTTTTAAAAGTAATATCTCACTTTTTAGTTCTTATGAAAAATATCCATGTTATGAATTAAAACACTGCATTATTACTTTTCTATTCCACTGATGAATATCATGTGTTTGAGAATCTGGTGTATCAGTATAATTAACATGCTTCTGCATGATAGTTTTCTTAAATTAGGGCTACATGTTTTTTTAAAAACCTGGACCTGATTTTGTAGAAGTATTAGCACACATAGAAGTTCCAAAGAGCTGTAAGCTTTCTGCATCTTTGAAATGGATCAGACCCATAATCTTCAATTGTTAAATGCGGACAACTCTAAGACTATCAAAGAAAACAGAAATACATCAAAGAAAGCATCAAAACCCAAATTAATTTCAGAGGTATTTAAAATACCATAGCCTCATTAGATTATCACTTCTAAGGCTTCAGTCTTTTTGACCCTTCTTTTTTTTTAACATGACACACATGTTAATAAATTAAGATTGGAATTGTCTTACACTTGGTATTAATACAGTAATAATTTTGAGTTGTTGTCAAATATTCATCCACGCAGGTACTGTGCACTTAGGCCAGATACATGCAGCAATCTAGGCCACCTACTGGCAATTTCCTACAAAATTTGAGTATCTAAAAAGAGAGAACTTAGAAAAGGCTTAGGGCATCTGAAATATCTTTGGAACTGAGTAAAGGAGAAAGGCAAAGAATCTGTGGACTACCTTAGATGGAGTGCCTAAAGTTCTACATGGAGTCAATTTTCTTCTTATAGGTTTTGCTTCAAGATAGATGCATCTTGTGCCCTCAGCTGTAGCTGTCACTGTTAAAGAGGACTGGAACACAACCAAGGGAATAGCTTGGCATGTGGAAGCTGGAGGTTCAAATCTCATCAGGATAAGGGGTACCTGAAAGCCATGTTCCCCACTGCTAAGACAAGTGTTAACAAACCAGCATACAAAAGGAAGGAGGATGGTAACACAAGGTCTACATTCAGGGTGAACTCAAGTTCTGTGCCTGGGAAACACCAACCCTGGTTGTTGTAAATAACAGTTAATTACTTCATCAATTTAAAGTTAGTTACTCTTCATCAATTTATTTGCAAGGGGACTTACACGCAAGGGAATGCTAATTCCCTTAATGTTAACCTGATTAACATAGAATTTTTTTTTTTCAAATCTTTATTGATAATGGGAAGATAAAAGATCTATAATATGTCATGCCTCTTGATAAAGAAATATATGAAGTCTGCACTGTATTGAAACTTTCAGATCTTATATTTGGAAGGTGATTTCAATCGCTTCAAACCTTGCTTCATACAGAGTACAATACAAATAAAAGACTAAGAARCCTAAGACCTACAGTGTGAAAGAAGGGCTTGGAAATTATTCAGCATTCTATGTTTTCCTCCCTAATAAAAAAAACCTGTGCCCAGAGTTAACTTTCTCAATATGTATTCTGGAAATGGTGTTCTTAAGATAGGAATTAAGTAGCGGAGTTTGGGTATAAAACTATTGTCTACACTATTAATATATTAACTTTTACTTCTCTGTCAGCATTCTGGCATAAATTAGTGGTCAGCAATATCTATTATGAGGCCATGTGTGTAAGTATGCATACGAATGCACAAAATCTAAACAAAAACCAATTCTTATTGCAAATTTAAAAAATATATAGCCTGTGAGAATTTATAATTTCTACCGTCTTCTATAAAACTATCTTATGTGTAAAATACACATTTACAACTTACCTTGTCAAACATAAAATCCAACTTTTTATCTCATTTTTTTCCATGTTACAACAAAAAAAAAAMCCCTTATTTCTGTCACAGTCTGTATAATACACACAGAAGAGAAAGTAAGAATGACATGAAGAATGACTCTTGCTATGATGGAAAAACAGTGAAGTATTTGAAAACAAGAAAACCACAATAATTAAAAAGCTACAACCACCACTGCCCTTTACACCTAAAACCCACCCATAAACTAGAAAGTAAGAGAAATGAGATTAATTTCTTCTCTTTTACAGAGAGCTTAACACATTTGTCAGCAGTGTACTTTCTCAGGAGTCATTATATACTCCCTTCCATTACACAGTAATCACATCAGGCCCAAATTATTTTGAAAAAAGAATGGTATTTAGAGTGGTCTTTAGCCATGATTAAAGGTATTCCGTGAATACATTTATAGTGGCAATATATATATATATGACTTCCAGACAGTTGGCAATATAATATGGCAGTAATTGATATGGAGTTCTTATTGAAAATTATAGCACATCTAGATAATGTTTATTTACAATTCAGGTCTGGAATTTTCACGTAATGGGGTACATACACTT